CCTTTGCCTAGTTAATTGTATGCCCTCGAAGGAGATATTGAATTAGAAAATTTAAGAGCTGTAGGTCTTCCTGTCATCTAAATGAAAATCCTAAAGCCTTAGAGCTATGCCGTCCAATAAGGTAGCCACAAGAGACTTCAGGTGGTTGCTGAGCACTTGAAATGGGGCCAGTTCGAATTGAGATGTGCTATACGTATGAAACACACACTGGATTTCAAGGGCTTAGTGATTTTTACATTGATTACACATTAAAACAACATTTTTAAAGATTTTATTTATTTATTTTTAGAGAGAGGGGAAGAGGAGAAAGAGAGGGAGAGAAACATTGATCGTTTGCCTATCAAACACGTCCCGACTGGGAATAGAACCAGTGACCTTCCGGTTTGTGGGAAGGTGCCCAACCAACTGAGCCACACTGGTCAGGGCAATATATAATTGTAACTTTCTTAATGCAGCTACTAGAACATTTCAAATGACTCACATATTTTTATTGGACAGTGCTGCCTTAGAGTTTCAGTGACTTGCTGTGACTACTGTAAATTTGAGATTGCCTTAAACACTAAGAACTTTTCTTAAAATATAAATTATTTCAAAGTCTAAATTATTAATCTGGTAGACTCTTAGCATTTTGGATTTGGGATGTTTTAAGGGGCAAACTGGAAAAATATACTCACTGATTTAGTAGCCTAAACCTATTTTTCTTTTCTCCTAAGCATTCACAAATTGTTCTACATAGAGATCCCTGGTCCCCAATATTTTATTGGGGTGGTTGTGCAGGAAGTAGGGAATAAGGTTCACCTAAATTAGATTTCTCTGTATACTTTTACTAGCTAGATTGGGTTTGTGTAGTGAAATCGATCTTTGTCATTTGACAAACACTTGAGCAGGTACTAGGTAAGGCTCTGGAAATGTAGTGTTGAACAAAGCATATCCCCTGCTATTTGTGTTTTGTTTTGTTTTGATTTTTAATTTGGAAACAATTCCAATCGTACAGAAATTGCTAGAGTAAAAATAGTAGAAAAGAACACCGTATGTATACCCTTTATCCAGATTCACCTGTTAACATTTTCTCTTGCTTTCTTTATAATTTGCCGCCTCTCATTGTATGTGTGCATGCTTGTGTGTACACACATACACATACTTTCTTCCTGAATCATTTGAGAGTAAGCTGCATGTCATGCCCTTTACCTCCAGATGCTTCACTGCCTAATTCCTAAAACACAGGGACCCTCTCATATATAACTATAGCTTAATTATCAAGTCTGTAAACTTAGGAAATCCAGTAAATTTAGCATTAGTTAGAATACTTTTTCTTCAGTTAGTATATAGGATTTCATCTAGATTCAGGTATTCAACTTCGTTTTCATGGCTCTATCTCCTTTGATTTGTGATCTTTTTCTAACCTTAGTCTTTTTATGACATCGGGATTTTAAGATGATATTCTCAACCCCCATACCCCCTTCCCCTGCTTATTATTTTTTTTAACAGAACATTTTTTTCATTTGGGCTTTGTCTATTTCCTCCTGGGTAGTTTCAGGTTATTATACACTCATGACTGGACTACTATAAAATAATGTTCTTTTCAGGATGTCACACCTGGAGGTGTACACTGTCCATTTGTCCTTCATTGGTGATGTTAATTTAATCACCCAGTCAACATGTTGCTCGATTTATCCATTGTATAGTTTAAGTCTCCCCATACCCTGCCCCCCCCGCAACTAAAAGGCAGTTCGGCGGGGAGATACTTTAAGACCATTTATATATTATCCTACTCGTCATTCAGATTTCCCTCTAGATTTAGCATCCACTGATGATTCTTGCTTGAAGCAGTCAGTATAGTGTGATGGCTACAAAATGATGTTTTTCCCAACTCTAGCACTCCCTGCATGGTTACCATTTGGATTCACTGCGAGCAAAAGCCCTCCCTTCTCGGTACTCTAAGTGTCACAGATTTGGTCAGGGAAGCCTTTTTAAGCTGACTCACAGGGCCTACGACCAATTCCCATCCTTTTTTGAGTACTTCCTTACTCTCTGGCATAACAGCACATTTTAGGTGGAGCTACAGTTTTATATGAGACCTTCAGGTACACAGGTGGCTTCAGTATAGTGAGCATGGTTCTCCTGTTAGGGTAAGCACAGCCTGCCCTGGTAGCTTAAGCATAGTGGAGGGTCCTTTAGCTCGTGTAAGAGGAGAGGCAAGGCAGCAGGACTAAGGGGAAGGGTGGGGGGTGGGTGAGTGGGAGGTGCCACCAGTGCCAACATTTAGGGATCAATATGGCTTGGAGAAGCAGAGGGGAGAGAGGAAGATAGAAAAGTACCTCAGGCAGATAGATGATCATGGGCTAATGCCCTGAGAATAGGCAACATAGGACATCCACGCAAAGGATCACATAGGCTGTTTGGTTTGGATACACAGAATGCAGGGGACATGATCAGATTTACATCTTAAAAAACAAATTCTCTGGCTGTGATATGGAGGAAGGTAGGGAGACCAGCAGGAAGCTGATGAGTTTCAGACATGCCCCAAATAATAGTAACTAATGTTTCCTAACTTACGACCATTTTCCATTTAAATTCTACTGTTATTTCCATTTTATAGATGAAGCTTTAAAGGTTTGATTGCATATCTTTCCTAGAGACTAATAAATAGCAGAAACAGGGTTGTAAACCATGACCCACTTGATTTCACACCCTGTTTAGTTGATTGTGCAAGAACAGGAAGTCAAGGATCACACCCTAGCTTCTAATTTTGTTAACTGAGTGGTAACATTCATGGAGAGAACAGAGAGCCTTTGGGGGGAAGGGTTGTGGTAAGGAGTTCCTTCTTGGACATATTGATATCTTTGGGCATATCTTTATGATGCTGTGTTGTAGGCAGTTGGCTCTATGTTTCTGGACTCTTGGAGAGAATATGATGCTTAAGACACCGCTTAATAGAAGTGGGAATCATCAGCCTTTAAATGTTTTTGAAACCTTAGTAATGAGGCCTGATCACTGGGCAAAACCAGGTAGAATGAGAAGAGGGTTAGGGTTAGGGCAAAAATGAGGGAAATGTTAATGTGATGACAGGTGGGAAGAAACCAGGCTAGTATGGTGTCACAGAGGCTGCGTGTCAGATGCTTCAGATGTCCCTAGATGCCTAGGGACCAGAAGATGTATCATCTGGACTTAGCCGCAGAGATGATGGCGAGTGTATTTCAGTGGAAGTGAGATGTGCCACATTAGAATAGACTAAGGAGTGAATTGCAGAGATCAGAAAAGTACAAGGTGGCCAGAAGGCCCACTATGCATGTGCACACTGGAAGTTATCTGTGTTCTTCACCCACATTTTACTTTTCCTTCATATTCCTTGGACATCTTCCGTGTCGATGGTTGCAAGTCATTAAAGCAGTCCCTAATAGCCCTTTTTACCTATGGTTAGGCAGAGTCTTGTACGTCAGGGCTTTGTAAGAACACATAACTCTTGATAGTCTTAGCCTTGGAAGGAAGAAGACAGACAGCTAGATGCCCCGTATGAGTCACAGATTGCACACAAAATGAAATTCCGTGCCTGTAATTAAAATGAAATGAGAGATTCCATGGTATTTATTTTTTAGTTACCTGCTTAATTATAAGCCAGCAAAAGTAAGTCAGTATTTTCTTTAAATACTTTTTATTTTTAAATTATTTCCTGTATTTCTCTACATTGCTTTAAGTAGTGGTATGATGTAAAGTTCTGAGGCCTGTTTGCAAGAATAGAAAATTGGTTGTGGGATGCCTCTCCCTTATGTGGGTGGTTTGGACATGTATTTTATAATTATGCTTTCCATGAATCCTATGAAGGTACAGGTGATTAGTTGTCATTCTTTTTTGGTTTTCATTTTGAGAGAGAGAGAAGAGGGAGAGAAACACTGATCAGTTGACTCTCCTGTATGCACCTAACCTGGGGACCGAACCCGCACTGGCATCCCAGGCATGTGCCCTGACTGGAAATTGAACCGGCACCTTTCCCTTTGCAGGACGATGCCCAACCCAGTGAGCCACACTGGTCAGGGCTACTTCTCATTCTTAAAAATATTTGACAATCTAGCAAGGGAGCACAGCCATAATATTATGAGATTGTATGGTATGAATTGTATGGTTTTCTCCCCTTTTAAAAATGGAAAATAAGGATTAAAAAGTGGGTTGGTTAATTGACCCTTGATGCTGCTGCCATTGATTTATGATTTCATTATAATGCAGTAGTTGCTTTATTTGCATGGGTGCTTAACTAGTGCCAGGAAGATGGGGAATCAGAGTCCTCTCTCTATTCAAAGGATGCTCCCACATCCTGCCAGTGGCAGCAGAGCTAGGTGAAAGCTTAGCGGGGCAGGTCTGGCTAATGATGGGCCCCCAACAACACTTTGGAAAACAAAGGATTCCACATTCCCATTTCTGTTTGCTCAGGTGTTTCATTTAGACATTGGGTTTCCTTCACTCAGACTTCAAATTCAAACCTTTTGGCTTCCAAGTACAGGGAGAATGTAAGGCAAACAAGACAAGTGTGCTTTATGGTGATATTATCAAGTCCTTGTTTCCTTGTTTCATTATTTCAGACACCAAAATAATTACTCTGCTTTAGAGAGTGGTGTGATAGTCCTTGGGAAAACACGAGTAAACATGAGTGATTATGTATAAGTAGGCTTTCTCAAGGCTAGTAGAAGAATACAGTTGCCAAATAATAAAACTCTGTACTTGAAATCTAGCTGCTTTTTTTTTGTTTTGTTTGAACAGTTAAATGAAACCAAAGAGGGGGTGGCTTTTTTCCTTCCTTTTTAAACCAGCGATGGCTATATCACATCAGAAAAGTCTTTGGCTAAGTTGAATTTGTCAGTTTTCCAACATTGGAATTGGGTGTCAATTTTCTAACATTGGAATTGGGTATACTTATGTAGGTCTCTATTTGAATATATTAATGGTTCGTGTTTGAATAAAGTGAACTAGGTAATTAAATTTAACCACACCTTAATTTCTTTTAATAGAAAATGACTTCGGTGTTGGAAGAACATTACTATTGGAAGGCCGGTTAGCATCCATTTCCTGAGAGAAACTTGACCACCACTTGCTCTGGCATGGCGCAAAGCAGTCCTCAGCTCGATATGCAGGTTCTCCTTGACCTCCGACAGCGTTTCCCTGAGATTCCAGAGGGCGTGGTGTCTCAGTGCATGTTACAGGTAGATTACTCACCAATGATAGTGATGTTAAGCTAATTTTTCCTTTTTAGAGCTGGCTTTCTGTTGCTGCGAGTAGAACTCGGTTTGAGTTTTCTTGTATAGGGGTTGGGGGTGACATTTAGAGCAGAATTTAGGCTGGATAATCTTTGTTGTGGGGAGGTCTTGCCTTGTGCACTGCAGAAGGTTTAGCAGCATCCCTGACCTCCACCCACTAGATTCCAGTAGTATCCCCACACTTGTGACAGCCAAAAATGTCTTGATGACTTGGGTGAATGTCTGACGGAAGGCAAAATCCGCTCCCCCCTGCCCCCATTAAGAGCCACTGATTTAGAGAAAAAAGTACATGTAACAAAAAGGAAAAACGATCCTCACGTTTCACTTCTTAAATTGCCTGGGTTGTGTCACCAGACCCCAAATCTGTAGAATTGAATGTTGAATCTCAAATTTATAACTACTATATATTTTTGAGAGCCTATTTTTAGAAGTTTGTGGAGTTGACTCCCTTTCTTACTGTTTTCCTAGTTGGTGAATGCTTTCTAATATATCTTAATTCTTTTGTTTAATCACATTCCTTTTGTCTTGTCTTCTATTAAAATAAAGACATTTCATCTCTGACAGACCATGTCTTCCCACTCAAGAGGCAACAGAGAGACAGTCCTAACACTGCCCCTTTTGACTTATATCATCCATCACAGGATCTCAAGAGTTTTTGGTTATAGCATTTCCCTTTTTGGTTGACATTTGGGAGTAGCACCTCTGTCTTGGCCACTGGACTCCCTCAAACAATCAGTTCACACTCTCCCTTCCTGCAGTGTGAGTGAGCAGGATATCACCTAAACCTGTATACAGTTGTGACTCACACAACAGTGGTGGCCACAGAGGTGCTTCCTTTGTTTGCAAGCCCTTCTGTTAGATCTAGACCTTTGGGCTTATGATTTTAGTGTTGTAGTTGGTCTTTGGGGTATTGTTTTATTTATTTATTTTTTAACACACATTCCCAGTTTGAATCTCTGCTCTTTACTTGAGCCTCCCATTTTGGTCTCTGGTAGAGCAAAGGTATTTCCCATTGAAGTGAAGCCAAGTGAGGCTCTGGTTTAAAGCACTTCCTAGCAATCTCCTAAGGCCCTAGCTCTGGTTTTCGGTTTTTAATTTTTGCATTTTATTTTATTTAGCCTGTAATTACCTGTGTTTTTTCATGGCTCAGTGTCTTTACCTCACCAAACTGAAGGAATGGAACTGTAAATTCAAGTCAGTGAAGGTTTGATGATAATTTACATTGTCCTTACTAGTCTTTCACCTTTTTTTTGTTCCTTTGGGATTACTAGAGTTAATTCATATGGAATTTACCACCTACTGGGTCTGGAAAGTTTCTCTGTTTGCATTAAAATATAGGAGACTCAGTAGTTTGCATTTAATACATAATCCTTACAGCCTCTCTCTGGGCTATCTATCATCCCTCAATTTAGGATCACTTTTTGAGAGTATAATGTTTTTTTTGCATTGGTTCTTTCAAGAGTGTTCATAGGTCTTCGTAAAAATTCTGACCTCTTTAAACAATTTATTTTTTTTATCCTTCATGTTTACTGTTTGAAATTTTTTAGACATTTAGCAGGTCAAATGTGACACTTAAATCTATTCTGGTGGTATTTTTTTAAAAATACCTCTGTAAACATAATACTTAAATATCTTTTTTGTGTTTGTAAATTTTTTTCCATAGGAAAATTTACTCAACTTGTCACTGTAGACATGCATTTGAAATAAGCTGACAAATCCAACTTTGTATCATTTTGAATTTTGATCCTTTTTGCAACAATACTAATTAGGTTACCTAATTCAGTGTAGAAAACTGCTTTTGGTTTCAAATAAAACTCTAGTTTGTGTTCTGCCCTTAAACTATTAGTTTATAAAAACCTTAAGGAGACAGTTTTATTTTCACTTTTCATATTTTTCCCCTTCAGCTATATCAGTAACATTTTCTAGTTGGCAATCAATTTGAATATTTTTAGTCCAAATTTACTTAATACTAGCTTTTCTCTCTTGATAAGCATAATTTCCAAGGATAAGAAAAAAACAAAACCCAGTCTTTTGAGAGTTCTAATTATTTTCTTCTTAAATTTCAACATTGTTTTTTTCTGTGGCTCTGTATTTAAATTTGAGTATCAAAAGCTTTACATAAGAAAAAGGATAAAAGTTATCTATGGAGTTTTGATAATGCCAGTTCTTTAAATTTCTGAGAATTCATTCTGCAGAGGTGTTTTGCTTGACCAAATGACCCAGTCTTCTTTATTGTACTTCTTCTGGTCCAGCCTCCTCTCCTTTGAAATCTCTGTGTTCAGGGGAAAGAGCACTGGAAGCCAGGAGACCGAGCTAGACCTGGCTCCCCAGTAAACTAGTTTAGTGCTTGACGCAGCTCCTCCCCAGGCACCCCTTTCCTCATCTGTGAATGAGTTCTCCCAGCTCTGAAATCGCAGCCGTGTATGTCCTGTCTTAGGTTAAAGTTTACTTGGTTCTCTGCAGAAGTATAGTGGTTTTTTTTTAAATTTTTGTATAAAATATACTTTTTCTTAAAATAAATACATGGTAATAGGTATGTATGTTCACATTTGTGTGTATATCTGTGAATTACAGAGAAGGTGATGATAATTGAGAAGTGTTAATAGATTTTCAAAGGCAATGAATAACAGTGTTTTGGGCTAATAAAATTGGTCTAAATTTTGTATTTGTGGGAAATTACCTTGTATTTTAAAATTAAAAAAAGAGGGAACCTGTTAAGAGTTTCATTACTGTCAATTGGAACATCTGACATGTTTGCTATTGCCATCTTTGCACGTGTGTGTATAACTCAAAAAATTCAAATCCTTAAATGATCTTGAAAATATACCAAACTACCTTTCATTGGGTGAAAACTTGAGACTGTAGGAATGTAAAGAATGAAGTCAGTCAAGACCTGGTTTCGTGTTAAATCATCATAACTTTGGTGAAGTTGCAGAGCCATAGTTCAAAAGTGGACTTTTTTTGTTAACTTACTTTTTCATTCAGCCTAACCTTTCATACGATACAGGCATAACATTGGCTAAAAGAAAAGTGAAGCCGCTTTAGAATTTTTATTGTTATTTGACTCTAGAAATTTTACTATAATTTTTTTCTCCCTTTGTGGTTTCAGTGCCTTTAGAAAACTAAAGCATGATTATTTCCATGTTTATCAGTTTAAATATTAATGATGGCTATTACTTATACTTGTATATTGCAGCAATTATGGTGAATCCAAGATTAGCCCAACATTTTAATTTGTTGAGATGCAGCAAGTATAAAATGAGTCCTGGATTTGGAGTCAGAAAAGTTGGGCTTGAGTCACAGTGTTCATTAGTAGGTACTTTATATTTCTGTAGCAGTAGCAGTAGCGGTAGTACTAGTTATGTGATCTAAATGTCTGTAAAATAGTATGAATTGTTTGAGATCTCCTTTTTTCAGGATAGATGACCATGAAGCTTTTTGTGCTTAAAATATTGTTCTCTGCTTATTCTGTGACAGTCATACATGCGTAACTCTCTGGCAAAAGCTTGCCTTCCACTATTAGGATTTGTTAATCTTGCCAATGTTACTTTTACCATTTTTCTCCCCTAGAATAACAACAATCTTGAAGCCTGTTGCCGAGCCCTTTCCCAGGAGAGTAGCAAATACTTATATATGGAATACCATAGTCCAGATGACAACAGGATGAATAGAAATCGCCTTTTGCATATTAACTTGGGCATCCATTCTCCTGGTAGTTACCACCCAGGAGATGGAGCCCAACTTAATGGTGGTCGAACACTGGTACATAGCTCAAGTGATGGACATATTGATCCACAGCATGCGGCAGGTAAACAGCTGATCTGTTTAGTTCAGGAACCACACTCGGCTCCAGCTCTTGTGGCTGCTCCTCCCAACTACAATCCATTTTTTATGAATGAACAGAACAGAAGTGCAGCTACTCCTTCACAGCCACCTCAACAGCCATCCTCCATGCAAACAGGAATGAACCCATCCGCTATGCAAGGGCCTTCACCACCGCCACCTCCTTCATACATGCACATACCTCGGTATAGTACAAATCCAATTACTGTTACAGTATCCCAAAACCTCCCTTCTGGACAGACTGTACCAAGAGCTTTACAAATTCTTCCACAAATTCCAAGCAATCTCTATGGGTCTCCTGGTTCTATTTATATTAGACAGACATCTCAGAGCTCATCAGGAAGACAAACTCCTCAAAGTACGCCATGGCAGCCTTCACCACAGGGCCCAGTGCCTCATTATAGCCAACGTCCTTTGCCTGTTTATCCACATCAACAGAACTATCATCAGCCTTCTCAGTATTCTCCCAAACAGCAACAGATTCCTCAGCCTACTTACCACTCGCCACCTCCTTCTCAGTGTACTTCACCCTTCAGCTCTCCACAGCATCAAGTGCAGCCTCCCCAGTTGGGTCACCCGAGTTCCCACGTCTTCATGCCACCTAGTCCTTCAACTACTCCACCCCATCTATACCAACAAGGACCTCCTAGCTATCACAAACAGGGGAACCATTCAGTAGCTTATCTCCCATACACACCATCTAGCTTACCCAAAGGATCCATGAAGAAGATAGAAATTACAGTCGAACCCTCTCAAAGGAGTACTTCACCTATCGGTAACCAGCCGTCTCCACGGAATCAGCACTCACTGTACACAGCCACCACTCCACCTTCTAGTTCTCCTTCAAGAGGGATAGCCTGTCAACCAAAACCTCCATTTGGTGTTAACCCTGTGTATATTACATATACACAGCCACCTGGACCTTCCTGCGCTCCATCACCATCTCCTCGGGTGATGCCAAACCCAACTACAGTCTTCAAAATTACTGTAGGCCGAGCAGCGACTGAAAATCTTCTAAATTTAGTGGACCAAGAAGAACACTCTGCAGCCCCAGAACCTATTCAGCCCATTTCAGTGATACCAGGCTCTGGGGGAGAAAAGGGAAGCCATAAATATCACAGGAGTTCTAGCTCTGGATCAGATGATTATGCCTATACCCAAGGTAATTAAGTCCCTTTTATGAAATTTAATCTTTGTGGTGGGATGGCAGTTTCCTGTTCAGAGTGAAATCATTTATATTAGCTATTTAGTTTCGATTAAATGTTTAGTAGTAGTATTTATTAAATATTGGCCGATAGCATTGCTATTAATTAAGAACAGGGCATAGTGCTTGAGAATCATTCCCAGAGTTTCTTTTAAAATATGAAAATGTAGGCATGTAATAGTGACCTATATTGATGATTTTTTTAGGAAGAACAGTCATTGGGAGAAAAATATAGATAAGTGAAATTGATACTGTCATAAATACAAACTACAGAGTGGGAAGAAGAGATGCATAGAGAGTAGGCTAAAGTTCACCAAGGTAAAGTATTTGAATCTTGTCTCAGAGAGGATGGCTTGAAGGATGCAATGATAGTTACAAGTAATATATATTTATAAGAAGTTGGGTTGGCAATGAAGAACATCGTTAGATTAGAAATAGATCTAACTAAATATAAAGGAGAATAGAGATGTTTCAAGACATCTGAGAGTTTAGTGTTCTTTTAGTATATAAGAAAAGTGATCGATTATAATTCAGTATGCCCGGTATTGAACCTGTTTAAAAAAGGCACAGTTAAGGAGAATGTTAGGGAAACTAAAGATGTCACAACAAGAGGGACATATAGATGACGTCATTTTGGCAACAGTCACGAGCTAAGTTAAAATGGATATGGAGGCAGAATAGCATTAGAGAGACATGAAAGTGAACGCCAACTCAAGTTGAATGACAGGGTTTCTTACAGGTATTTTGTACATTAGCAATGCATATAGAAATTTCCTGCTCACTTGTTCAATGTTATTCTCTGCAATGACTTTATCTGTAATGCTATAGCCTTGCTGTTACATCAGCGAGCAAGGATGGAGAGGTTAGCAAAGCAATTGAAAGTTGAGAAAGAGGAGCTAGAGCGACTGAAGGCTGAAGTTAACAGTATGGAGCACGACCTGATGCAGAGACGGCTCAGAAGGGTCAGCTGCACCACGCCAATTCCAACGGTAAGTGATCTGGTGGGATGTATTGATAGGAAGGTGTTCTGTTTCTGGCAGTGTTTTCATTTTTATACGATGGATGAAGGACTTTTGCCTTCAGTAGTTCTTCTTGTCAAAATAATTTGATGCTTTGTTTTTCCACATGTATGAATTCCAGAGGCTCATTGATTGTTTCAAATTCTGATCATTATAATCAAGGTATAGATCTCATTCACAATAAATTGCTTTGTCAAAATAGAAATGCAAAGTTTACCTCGAACAAATCTTTTATAAATTGTTCTCATGTATTCATGCATTCTCCTAAGCATATTTTGTATTTTTACAAACACTTAAAAATTACTTTCTAAATATATTAATTCACATGAGCTACAATGAGATTAATATGAATTTTGGGAGTGTTGACTATAGACAATTTTAAGGTAGAGCAGTTTTGTTAAGTGTAAATAATTGTAGAAACTGTAAGGTAACAGTATTGACAACAGTCCTGACAGGAACTGCTCTAAATGAAAAGATTTGGATAATATATTTTAACATGTTGGTTAATATTTAATAAAGATCTTAAACAGTTCTGAAAATTTTGAAACAAGTCTTTAACATCTTGAGGCATCACACACTTTCTCTGATCCAACCACCTATCATTTTGCCTTTTAACATTTATTCAGTCAATGAGTGGGTTTTACAGTGAATGTGGTGCAGGGCTAGGTGCTTAGTGGGAGAAGTCCAGTAGATCCATCAACAGATAATACAATGGGCTAAACACTCTGCGCTCAGTTAGTGATAAGAGAACTTTCATGCCAGCTGGTTTGTTTACATCAGTGCACTTCTCTGCTCTCTCACATTCCTGCTGAAATGCCATTCTGAAGTTCTGCACATACACATCCTGTCTGTTCTTCAGGACTCAGCTCAATCTCTACCTTTTCCAGAGCCATTCCTCATTTCCTACCCTCTCTAAACTAAAGATAACCTATCTCTCCCTGTCTCTGTCTCTGTCTCTGTGTCTCTGTCTCAAAGTTTACAAACTTAGGGAAGGCAGCACATAGCAGGCCTCCTGCAGATAGTATATCTGGCGCCATGGCCCCATAGAAAAGTTTTTAACTGAGTTCCATGGCTTCAAAGGAGATCTGTGAATGCCTGAGATGATATGCAGTTTCGTATGTGTGTTTGTATGGGAAGGAGGTCCATAGTTTTTTCATTTGATTTTCATAAGGTTATTATTATTAAATCAAAGGAAAAAAGGGTGAGAAACCACTGCCCTAAACAGTGTACTGTTGCTGTGTCAGTAGAGAGGGGAAGGCATTTTAGAAAAGAACGTGAAGCCCTGAAGTCTAGACAGACTTTCAGCAGGCAGCAACTGTAGTTCCCTCTCTTCAGCAGAGATTTCTGATGTTTGTACAGGTTAACGTGCATAGGTGGAATGGGGCTTAAGACCTTGAACACTAAGTTCAGGTGTCTGACCTTTATTCTGCTGATCATGGGAACCCAGTGGATGTTTTTGAAAAGATAATTTAGTGAATTTTTTCCAAATATGGAAAACACTTGGAAAAGTGGTATTTCTGCCTCATTTTTTTCTCACTTGAAATCTTTTCAAATTTTTTTAATTTTCTTTTTTTTTTTTTAATTTTTAGCGAGAGGGGAAGGGAAATATCAATTGGTTGCCTGTCCCACACCTCCAACCAGGGACCTGGTCCACAATCCAGGCATATGCCCTGACCGGAAATCGAACGGCACCCTCTCAGTTTGCAGGCCGATGCCCAGTCCACTGAGCCATACCAGCCAAGGCTCACTAGAAATCTTTATTGAATCCTCTGATGAAGGGAGATACTGAAGAATGTAACCTGTATAGGAAATCACCTATGGTGGTTGGACACTTTGGAGTCCTTAGGTACTTGTACGGCAACAACAAATTTTCTTAGCATAGAAGTTATTTTCTCTAACTTAGCAGCCTGTTCCCATGTGATAATCCCTGCTAAATAAAGTCCTATTGGTTCTTTGTTGTTAAAAGCAGAGAATTGTCTAATGTACTATATAGCATAGGTTGGTTAGTCTTTCACAAAACCCATGTTTTAGTTGAGAGCTTTTATTGATGAGACTTCTTTAGAAAAAGAAAAAGAGAAGTTGGTAAAACTGCTGTTCTGGGCTCTAATTTATTTTAAACCTTTTATTTATTAAGAGAATTTCAAAGATAAGTAGGTATAATAGTATAATGAACTCCCATGTCACTATCATCCAGCTTCAAAAATTGATAGCTCATGTGGGTGATAATATTTAAGAAGTGAGAAATTTGAGTGTGTGATTTCCACATTGTTTCTGCCGCCAGGCCTAGAGTAAAATGGGGGACTATTGGAGTGCATGGCTGAGGGACAATTACAGTTAAGACAGTGACCTCTTGATTCAGGCGTGAATTCGAATGCTACTTCTGCTGATCTCATGTCACTCATATATCCCTGGATAAGAAACCTTCTCTATGCTTGTTTTCTTATCTATAATATATGTGAGTACCCATCTCATAGGATTTTCGTTAGGATTAAATAATAACGCATCAAACAATAGAGAATGCCCAACAAATAGTAAGTGTTCTTGTAAGTTGAAGGTTGGTCACAAGATACTGGAAAAATCTGCTTGAGAGATACACAAATCTGAAGCATTTTGTAAAAATGGTTTCCTTTTAACTTTAGGAACATGCAGAACACAAGGGTATATTATATGTAGGAAATTAATCCGAAAACAAAGGATTTGTCAGGAATCCCTTTTTGTTCATAGAAGCTCATTGAGGCACCATGACATAGTTGAAAGAGTGCCCACATAGGCTCTGGAGCCAGAACAGTTGTGGCACTGACTGGTTATATCTGACTTCCCTGCAGTTGATTTTCCCTTACAAAAAAAAGGAATATAACAAGTTCATTTTAATATTTTGGTCAAGATCAAGAGACAAAGTATTTGTATATAAAGTGTCTGACATTAAGTGGCTATCCAGATTTATCACTGTCCCACTTGTGTAGATTATGCAATAGAGAACAGACTTTTTTGGTACTGAGCCCATATTGCTACCTTCGGGTTGTCAAACATTTATTTCTTACAAAGCAATGTATGAAAAATTGGTTAGAAGTGTGCCTAACGACACTGGAGTGCACATTTGTGACCAGCTTGTGCACAATTGCAGAAACTCAGAGGAACTAAGGAGGGCAGAAGTGCAAGGCGCGTTACCACCATCATTTTTCTCAGTCTACCATTTGCAAAGCATCGTATTAAATGCCACGGGAGATGTCATCTCCTTCTAGGAACGTGTGAGAGAGAGAGAGAGAGAGAAGATGATGTAAGGCAGTAAATGAGAAGTGCCGGCCAACTGAATGGTAGTGCTATTAAATGCCTTTGGAGTCCAGAGATTAAAATGCTAGTTTTTTGCTGGTAGGGTTCAAAGATGAGACAGTTTCATGGAGGAGGGGGAAATTTAAAGATACATAGAATTTTAATAGGCAGAGAGCTGCCAATTACCCCACCCCCAAAGTTTTTCCTCCCATTCATCTTGTTCTGACTAATTGAGTTTTTGGATTAACCCACCACTTTGAGTCCCAACTGTGTAACTGGGGCCAAACCACTAAAGACCATCAGTGGTCTTCAGCCTTGGTCTCTGTGACACAGCTTCTTAAAGTGCTGAAACAGTTGATTCGGTATTTTTGGCACCTTTTAAAAAAATTTGTAATTTTTAATTTTGAAAGAATGGTTATAAACATCCTGGTAGTTTACAAACAACTATAAATTACACATAGTCATTCTAGAAACCCCTTCTCCAGGAAAAAACTGTATTTTTTGATGAATGGCAGTAACTTTCAGAAACAACTTTTTCCCCCTCAATCAAGAGCTATGAAAAAAGACATAGAATCTTATAAATAAAACTCTTAGGTCAGTGAGTTCCACTGGTTCTACTGTCTTTGGAAATTGTCATTATGAGCAAATGTGCAGTACTGTAATCTTTTCATACTTAGTTATAGAGCTTCACTATTCAAGGGATGCCATGCTGAGGCATTCCCCCCACCATATATAGGAATGATCAGCTTCTTCATGTGTTTGACTTTGCCAATATGATTCCACAAAGAAAATAGGTTCTTTCACATATTCCTAGTAAGACAGCATCAGTCTTTGACATCCTTGAACAACTGCTTTAGCTAAAGCCTTCATATTGCCTGGTAGACAAGGTAGAAGCAACTTTACATGTTAATGTCACATGGTTTACCCATGGGAATGAGAAAAGGGAAGCAATCCCTAATAAATAGTCCTAAATGACTTTTATGCTCCCCTGGCATTCTTAGGGATTATAGCTCTTACTCTATTTTGCCTGTTATAGCACTTACTTTAAACTTTTTTAAAAAAGATTTATTTTCAGAAAGGGGTAAGGGAAGGGAGAAAGAGAGGAAGAGAAACATTGATCAGTTGCCTGTCGCATGCCACCAACCAAGGACCCTGGCCGCAACCTAGGCATGAGCCCTGACCGTAATCAAACAAGAGACCTTCGCTTTGCAGGATGACACCCAACCCACTGAGCCACACCAATCAGGGCCTTATTTTAAACTTTTGATAGCTGCTAATTTAGTGGGCCTTCCCAGTTATTCTAGTAATACCTCCTAACAGCATAAGATCTTGCATTGTAGTGAATTAAAATAACCCATTTTGCTCATTTTTCTTCATTCTTACAATAACATAGTATTTGGTTTTTAGCAAACTATATGTTTTTAACAGAATGGGATTTTATTTTGTCTTCCTGTCATAGCCGATTTTTATCTTTTGCTTTATAGGATCACCTTAGAAACTGAGTCAGTATCTAGGCTGTGCCGAAAGCTTCAGTCCTCATACCTCTGGAGTCTGAGCCCTAACTTTTTTACTATACATATATGGAAAATAGTAAAAGAATTCAGAATGTAAGGGGAGATAAAAGCTTCCAAAAAGCTTTATTTAACTGAAATGTGAAGGACTCGCTTCACATTTCAGTGTTGTGTGTATGCCCTGAAAGGCCTAAGGAGTAGGCTGGGCTGGAAAGGTCGAGGCAGAAGGAAACAAAGTTGGAGGAAGAATGGAATCCAATTGTTCCTGAAGTTTTCATGTATTAGATTAATTGATTCTATGTATAGAGAAGACATTTAGATACAAATTCTGTCTCTTTTATAACCTTGGGGAAATTATATAACCTCTGTGCCTCAGCTTCCTCATGTATAAATTGTGAGTGATATTGGTACTTAACCTTGAAAGAGTGTTTTAAGGAAAGAATGAGAAAATGTTGCTGAACACAGGTGCCTGCCACTCAGTAAGTGTTAATTAAAATTAGTATTGTTGTAATTCCAATAATCCTGGGCAAGACTAAAAAAATGGATGTTGCTTGTTTAAAAGGTTCATACTTATTAGTTTCCCTTGTCATGAAAACATAGAACTAAAATATTCTTAGTGCTCTGTGACTAAAGTGGTAGTATTTTGTATGATAGAACAGTCTACTATTAGCCCACCACATTATGTGCAGATTTTGTTTATATGTGGCCGTGCTGATGTCCCCGTTGTATCTGACTATTCCTTGAAATACGTAACACATAGGACTTCTTAAACATGCCCTGTTGTGGGCTAAGGCCATACTCTTGGTAATAACCAATCAGAACGATTAACATGAATAGCAGTTCTTAAATGTTGGGCTTGATAATGACTTTCCCACAATTGCTATTTTGGGTCCTTTCTTACTAGCCTGAGGAAATGACAAGATTGAGAAGCATGAACAGACAACTCCAGATAAATGTTGACTGTACACTGAAAGAAGTTGACCTCCTTCAATCTAGAGGTATAGAATTGATTATTTGGTAAACCATAAGTAATAGTGTGGTGTTTTAAGTTGCTTAAATAGCAATCATTTTGGTTTTGTAGACTTAAGAGAAAAGTTTTTATCCACTGTAAAATTACAATCCTGGTACACAGATCCCTCCACCTCATGGTTGGAGGTCAGAGTGGGGATCAAAAAAGAGTTTTACTTTGGTAATTTCACCATTAAGTCTGTTCTGTGTTGTTACTCTGCATTTATCCTCTTTTAGTCATTTACTGTAAATTACGGGTTTTAATTCTAAAACTTAGTAGGTTCATTTTATGTGAGTCATCTAAAATATTTGTAAAAATAGGGATCCCAAGTCAAAATATCAGATTTCTGGTTTTAAAGAGAATTCCACATGGCAGTTTATTCATGTTTCATAAAAACATGGAACTATACCTTAGAGTTTTCAGGAGTTTTTTGTTTGTTTTTGTTTCCGGGGGTTTTGTTTTTCTTCTTTTGGCTTTCTTATAGAAGGACACTACACTAGAAGCTCTCTTAACTGCCTTTCATTTGCCCAGCTCACCAGGGTAGAGATGTTCTTCATTTCGTCTGGACACTGTAGTGACAGAGTCCGCAGCCACTGCACAGTCCCGGCAGGAAGCCACATGTTGGCATGTCTGCGTAGGATTGGAATTGTCCGCTTACCAGGCCTCAGTTGTGCCTGTTCCTAAACCTGTTTATGCCCGTTATTAAAATGATGTGAAGTCAGGAGAAGCGGCTTTTTCTATAAAAATCAAAGGCAAAAACCCTTTTAAAGACCCAAAGGCAAAGCAAATAGGGACTGTGAATTAGATAATGGGTGAAAGCTACGGTAAAGGGTTAAGGGGGAAATTAAAAATTTAAGAGGTTTCTGTCGTCAAATGGTTTTAGTATCTTTCTTGCTCCATCCTGAAGAAGTGAAAATAAGTATCAGGGTTCAGCAAAGTAGCCTGCTGCCTGTTTTTCAAAATAGTTTTAATGGAACATAGCCATTCCATTTGTTTACATATTGCCCTGGACTGCTTTTGTGCTTCGGTGGTGCAGTTGGGGGCTTTGCAACAGGGATGGCATCACGGGTCTACAGTGCCTAAGGTGTTTGCCATCTCACTTTGTAGAAAAAGTTTGCCCACCACACTTTAGCTCATCACGGGTGTAGTTTATAAAAGACAATATAGAACCTTCAGTCAACAGACAGGTAAAGAAAAGCTCTTGGTCCAACATTAAAATACTGCCATGTTTATATGTTCTGCTACATTGAAGTTGACATGTAATTTTTCCTAACAATTCCGTGTTTTAATCAGCCCCCACCTTACTGTTCTTAATTATGGCAGCTAAGAGAGCTTCTACTATATTTTAAGAGGTTTATATAAAATGACTCCATTGCCATTTTTTAAGGCAAGGCTAAGTAGTAGAAGCAGGGGAACCTAAAAGACGTAGAACTATCTGAACACAAGTAAGTAAGTTTGAATGTGAAAGTTGAAGGATCTAGTTAGGTGTGCCCTTGAAGTTGTTTTCAGAGGCCTAGTTACTCTATAGCCTAGTAGCTTTAAGCAATGAAAGAGTTACTGTGCATAAATGTAGTGGTTATATAAACTATTGCTACTATACTAGAAGATAGCATTGATTTTTTTTTTTGCCTTTGTGTTCTTTGAAGCAAAACAAACAAACATTTGGTTAGGGTATTTATAGTACCCTAATGAGATCTAGAAATTAGAACATCAGCTGTAACTTAAGTAATTGAAGAAATACATATGAAGCATCTTAAAGCATAATAAGATCCAATTAATATAGCAAAATAGCATTGTGGGTTTCCTGAGCAGTCATAGGAATTACTTTCAGAAAATATCTTAAAATAGCATACACAAATGGATAAAAGCATTCATAATAGGACCTGTAAGGGAAATGACTGTTAAGATTTTATAAGTGAAGAGCTGTGTTTTTGGTCTCCATTGGACAACAAAGAGCTCTTTTTTGGTGCTTAAGCATTTCTAAATCTCTACTCTTCCATGCTCTGGGAAAATTTTATATATATAAATTTGCAATCTAAACTTTTAGGTGAGAGAAAGAATGTAGACATTTGGGAGACATTTAGATTAGATGCAAATCAGTGTATGATTTGCTGAAAAGCAGCTTTATCGTCTGTTTTGGTGAGGAAAAATTTTGCTGGGAAAAATGTAGGTCTAGAAATCAAGAGATCCAATATATTTGAACTTCATCAATGTCATATAACGTCCTCTGGAAATAATAATGGGTGCAGTTACAAAGCAAATTAACATTAATTAGCATTGTGCAGAACGAGGAGATGGCAGTGTTAGGTTCACAAAAGTGGAGGTAGGACCAAAAGCTGGCTCTGGATCAAAACTGACCTTGGAGGAGTCCTGGCAGGAGATGGGGCTGAAATAGACACTAGATCAAGGAGTGAACATTTTCAGAGAGGAGAAAATTTCGTGGCAAGACAAAATTCTCAGGGATTGCTCTATTATTCTCAAATTGGCACTGTATCATCTTTTATCATTGACAAATCTGTAGGTGACATTTAAGAGCCTTTTTTTTTTTTTTTTTTGGAAGATAGGAATCCATGAGCTGCTGATACCAACACTTGAAAAATCTTTGTAAATGTACATATTTGGGTTCTTTAATAGTTGAATTTATAATAGATTAAATATTAAGGTAAATTAAGAAAGATATTGAATTGAGCTTTCACCATTTAAACCTTATGGTTTGGTTCACTAAAATCAAAACAAACAGAAAAACAGTTCAGCCATTCTTTCATATCTCACCTTCATTTACCTCCCTAAATGCGCCACATGCTTAAATCTGCCAAGAGACTAGCTTTACAGTAAGAAAAATATTCCTTTAGGTGAACACTAGATAGACACCGATGTGTTAGTTTCTTGGGTCTTTTCTCACAATGATAAAATCATTTCAGTGGGAAGGGAGTAAGATAATACAATGAGTTTTAAAACCCTGGAGAAGAGTTTCCCCTTCTTACAAGTTTAATTCCCATAACAAAAAATTCAAGTAACAGGAAAAATAACTCTAAGTGCCTGGTGATGTTATTTTTCTTATAGGAAACTTTGACCCGAAAGCCATGAATAATTTTTATGATAACATACAACCTGGCCCCGTGGTACCACCCAAGCCATCTAAGAAAGGTGAGTAGCAAAATGTCACAAACATACAAATAAATATGAAAATTCTTTGGGAGTTCACATTGACAGCTGAAACAATTTCCATTTAACTTGTTCATGGCAATAATAAAATGTCCCCGAACTTTATTAATTAACTCCTAGAATTATTGTCAAAGATCATTCAGTAGGATAATTTATTTTTTTAAGTTGAAATCGTAGTATAGTATATAGTTAAAATTTACCCAGCACTGTAAAAGCTATAATCCTAAAAGATAGTTCCTACTAAATAATGAGAATTTTAAAGGTCTGGAGTTAGAATGGAAAGTGTGACTTGAGTAGATCAAGATTATTTAACAGGCCACAAAAGCATCCTTGTGTACTCAGCAGGCGAGCAAAATAGATCCTACGCAAATCCAAAATTTGGAGGAATCAGTTTTCGATAATTGTTAAGTCATTTTCATGTAATATTAAAAGTATCAAATCTCTTATAATTTTTATGTACCAAATGTTTAATTAATTGGCATTTCATTATCTTAAAAATTAATTTGAATGAAATTTTAATCAGTCATTGAATTTAAACTTTTTCTGCCCTGTTATTTTTTTTCCTTGTAGAATTCTTCATTGACCAGCAGAATATTTTGTCATGATTGACTTCATAATTTATAACACACTAAAATTTCCAAATTTTCTATTTATTTTATATTAGTGAAACCTTAGATGAATGATTGATTACCTAGTGAAAATTAGAGAGATACCTTAATCAAACTAGCATTATTTATATAAATACTTTCTAAGGATTTATATAAATATATTTTGGGTGTTACCCATTATTTTTTTAAAAGATTTTATTTATTTATTTTTACAGAGAGGAGGCAGAAAGGGAGGATGAGAAACATCATTGTGTGGTTGCCCCTCACATGCCCCCTACTGGGGACCTGGCCCACAACCCAGGCTTGTGCCTTGACTGGGAATCAACCAGCGACCCTTTGGTTCATAGGCTGGCACCCAGTCCCTGAGCCATACCAGCTAGGTTTCCTGCCCCATTCTTATTAATGGCCCATGTTATTTTATAAATATAATTCTCAAGACTGAGCTAAAGTATGCATTTCAGATCTTAATCCTTAAAGCTTTAAGCAACTCAAAATAGAATGATCATGAAGACATTTTTTAGGAATGTCTTACTTTAAAAGAAAAAATATCATCTAAGGGTATAACATTTTAAAATCTCACAATTATTATTAATCAGAGAATGTATACATTCTGTCTAAATAGTATTACCTGACCTAAATTACTTAAATATTTGTTTTAAAGCTCATTACAGAGTGTTTTAAGTATTTCACTTATAGGTTGCAACATGGTATCTGTTGTTCCTCTTACTGTTTAATACTACCATGGATGTGTCTGTCATCCAATGTGCATTTAAAATAGCCTACTAATTTCTAAGAAGGGCACAAAGAAGAATTTTAGTGGTTGACTGCCAAGTACCAGATTTGGCACTATGGTAACATTAAATACAGCTTCAAGTTGAAAGTCACTGGGTTATATATCATTGACCACTTTTTCTCTCTTTAAAAAAAAAAAATTATTTATTTTTAGAGACAGGGGAAGAGAAGAAACGTTAATCAGTTGCCTGCAACCCAAGCAAGCATGTGCCCTGACTGGGAATCGACCCAATGCCCTTTGTTTGCAGGCTGGCACTCAATCCACTGAGCCACACCAGCCAGGGCTAAAACATGAATCTGTAAACTTGATTTTGCCTCAGTGTCTACTAAGGAAGGGTTACTTACTGATAATCCAATAGATAAACTTCAGTTAATTGATTCAAGGGCTGTCATGGAGGAATCACCCTATTTAAGGGAGTGCATTGAAAAGTTGTTCCCTCGGAACAGAAGACCAAGTTGGCAAGAAATGGTGGACTATATATCCACCTTGAGCCACCTCATTAGCATACATTCTCAGGTGTGGTCCAGAGGGCCCAACCATAAATAACAAAGAGACTTCTATCACTTGGGAAGCTTCAAGATTTTAGAGGTTATCTCCAAGGAGCTGGAGACAAAGCTAGACCTCTCTTTGGGTGAGGTGTTAAAGCAGTGCTTAGAAGGAAATTTATAGCTTTAAATGCTAGTAGTATAAGACAAGAGCTAACATCAATGATCTAATATTCCACCTCAAGAAACTAGAAAAGTAGAAGGAGAGATAAGACTAGGCAATGAGATAGAAAACAAAAACAACAAAGCCAAAAGTTTGATCTCTGAAAGAAACAAAATCCGTAAGTTCTAAAGTCAGCTGATTAAAAAAATGAACACAAATTACCATAACCATAATGGTATTACTCTGTAAAATAATAAAGGAGTATGATGAACATTTTTTGCCAATAAGCTCGACACCTTAGATGAAATTGACATGCCTTGAAAAATGTAACCAACAAAACTGAAAACAAGATGAAATAGGAAGTATTAATAGCTATCTATACATTGATAAAATATTGAATCTGTTATCAAAAATTTTCCTACAGAGAGAACTCCAGAATATCAAACATTTAAGGATGAGATAACACCAGTCTTACACAAACTCTTTGAGAAAATAAAGGAAAGCCTTCCATTTTTTTTTAATGGAGCCAGCAGAACCCTGATTCCCAAACTCGATTAAAGACATTACCTACCTACTGCCTCCAAAAGAAAACAAAATTATAGATCAATATCACTGATGAACATAAAAGCAAAAAAGCTTTCATTAAATATTTACAATATATGAAAAAGATAATACATCATGGCCAAGTTGGGTTTAGCTCAGGAATGTAACATTAAAGGAGAAAAAGCGTCTAGTCATTTCACTAGAAGCAGCTGACAAAACATCTGACAATTCAGCAGCAATTGCAGGAGGCACGATCCTTTGCAAAGAATATCTAAGGGCACTGAAAAAACAACCATTAGAAGTAATGAATTTAACAAGGTCTTGGGGATGTAAGGTCAGTATACAAAATCCATGTTTTTACCTTTTTCATTTTATTTTCCAGTGGTTTGCTGATATATAATCACAATACCATCAATAACACCAACACATGAATAAATTTTACCCAAGATATGTACACTGGCAACTGGAAAACATTGCCAAAAGAAAATAGAAGACTTAAATAGAGTAATATACCATATTCATGATTAAATGAATATTGTTAAGATACCTATTCTTCCCATGTTGATTTTGTAGCTATCCTGCAATACTGATTGGAACTCCACTAGGCCTTTGTTTTTTGGTAGAAGTTAGTAAACCAGTTCTAAAATTCACGTGGAAATGCTGAAGACTTAGAACATTGAAAACAATCTTAAAAAGAAGAGCGAAGTTGGAAGTCTTATGCTAACCAACTCCAGAACTTACTATAAGGCTGCACTAGCATGGGGATAAAAAAATGCATAATAGCAACAGAATAGAGAGCCCAGGTTGTAGACCCTCACACTGCCATTAAAGTTTTGACAAAAGCACCTAAGCAACTCATGGAAAAGGAAAAGTCTTTTCAATAACCTGTGCTGGAAGAACTGGATATCCATGTGGGAAAAAGAAACAAAGTTTGATCCTTATGTCATACTGTACACAAAAATTGGAGATAGGTCATACACACCTCAGTGTGAGAGCTAAACTATAAAGCTTCCAGAATAAAACATAGAGTATCTTTGCAATTCAGATGTAGATAGAGATTTTCCGATGGGACACAGGAAGCATTGAAGCCTAGTGCTTGTCAAGAGACACTATTAAGGCAAACCACAAACTGGGAGAAAATATTTGCAAAACACGTAACTGTTACAGAACTGGTATCAAGAATATATAAAGAACTATGACAATAATTTAAAAGCCCAATTAAAAAAAAGGGACAAAACATATTGAGCAGATGCTTCACAAAGGAATATATATGTAAATGGCCGATACGCACATGAAAATACTCAACTTGAGTGGACAGTAGGAAAATACAAATTAAAATCCTGAGGTACCACCTCTCACCCACCGGAATGGCTAAAATCCCAAATTTTGGAAAACGTTTTGGCCATTTTATTGTAAAACCATTCACCTGCCCTGTAGTCCATCAACAGTTCTACCTCTAAAAATTTATACAAGATAATCTAAAGCACTTGTCTACAAAATGACTTGTTTGTTTATTTACTTACTTTTTTAGAGAGAAGGGGAGGGAGGGAGAGAGAGAGGGAGAGAAACATCAACGCGTGGTTGCCTCTTGCACGCCTCCCATTGGGGACCCAGCCCACAACCCAGGCCTGTGCCCTGACTGGCAATCAAACCAGAGACCCTTTGGTTCGCAGGCCAGCCCTCAATCCACCGAGCCACACCAGCCAGGGCATGACTTGGTTTTTTAGAAGTTTCATACCATTTTTATTCACCATAACCAAAAACTGGAAACAAACCAAGTGTCCATCAAAAAGATGAATGGATATACAAATTGATATAGTCATACCATGGAATAACAGCAAAAACTAAATTACTGATACATGAATCTCAACATAATGCTAAATGAAAGAAATCAAATATAAATGAATATATACTACATGATTCTATTTATATGAAATTCCAGATAGAATAAGCTAAATTAATTTATAATCTTAGAACTGTTGTTGGAGATTGAGAAAAGGAATGGGGAGATTTTCTGGGCTGATGGTAGTATTCTAAATCTTGGGTGGGATTTGGATTATCCAGGTGCATTTGGTTAAACTCATCAAATAGTACACTTAAGGCTTCTGTATTTTATGGTATAAATTTTACCTCAAAAATTCACAAAGAAATAAAAGGAGAACTTTTTGAGGTAGAGGGCCCATATAAGTCAGTTTTCTAGCAGTGGTGATAGAATTTTTGCAGGTAACGTCATTCTGCCTTCTCTCTTTGAGACCAGCACCATGTATTTGAGGTGGGAAGTTCCTGTTTGATGTACTTCTCAGCGAGGAATTGCAGGGCTTGCATTAATGTGCCATTAATATCAAGTTTCATCTAGCTCCTGACCAGTGCTTCCACACTAAAAAGGCTCTTTCTAAAACTGATACTGGATAGTCATTTAGAGTTAGTTGTAATGGGATTCCAATTACAATCAATTTCTTAAATACGCAGATGGATTACATAGATAGATGCTCGATGCCACAAAGGTAAGGCATGAGAGTCCTACGCAAGCAGTTTGTACTCTACAATATAGTTTTAATTAAGAGACTAGAAAGCCATCTAAAGTAACATCCTCACTATAAATGGATCTCTACTTAGAAATCTAATTGAGTTTTAATTGTATAATAATATACACCATTGGTGAGAGTATAAAATGGTGCTTTATATACCCTCTAGTTTTTAAACCTTTCACCTTTTTCTGTAAAAATTTATAAATAGAACTTGGTTAAATTCTATAATTTTCTTATTTTTTATTTTTTGGATTTTATTTATTTTTAGAGAGAAGGGAAGAGAGGGAGGGAGAGAAACATCAATGTGAATTCTGTCATTCTTTAGGAAGTCTTTTCACAACAGATTTAGTTGGCTATTTGGTTTTCTCTGTGAAATCAAATTTGGCTTCCTGGGGACTGAAAGGTGGTCAGTTTGATCCCTGATCGGGGCACATGCCTGCATCTCAGGCCAGGTCCCCAGTTGGGGGCATGCAAGAGACAACTCATTCATTGAAGTTTCTCTCCCTCTCTTCCTCACTTCCCCTCTCTCTAAAACAAATCTTTTTAAAAAATAAAATAAAGTATAAATTTTTAAAGACTAACTTGGCCTTTATCTAGTTTGATGCAAGTCATCTTGCATACCACTTAAATTTAAAAAGCAAGTAAAATAATGCGTAGAATTGTTTTATTTAGAATAAATGTCTCGGTGTTACTATAATTACGTACAAGAGATCCAGGTGAAATATAGACATTCATCTGATTGAATAGTGTGCTAAAGAGAGAGAACAAGAAATAGAAAGGGAGACAGAAATTTGCACTGGATTTTGTAGTTAAGCAATACAGTGAGCGTGTACGCTCTGCAGAAATCCCCAGTCAGTGCGCCAGAGAGGCGACCAGTGGTCAGTGCTGTAAAATGCACAAGCTAGGTAAGGGTCAGTGAGAAAGGAGCTATGTGATGCTATAAAGTGCTTTACAAACCTAAGAAGTGGAGCTTTACCTTATAGTTTTGTAGCCTAAGAAATTTCCTCTGCTCTTCTTGACTCTGATAATGGAGTGCTTTTAGGGGCTAAGCACCACCCTTAGGAGTCTGGAGCACCCGTTTCCGAAGGTAGGCTGGTTGTACTAGTACAGTAACTGCTTATGGGCTAAGAACTGGTTAAAAAGTGCAAGATCTGTTTTTGTTTTTTAAGGGTAAATAATGTGAAGTCTGCCATTTCTTGTTTTTACTTATTACCAAGGACTGCTTACTAATGACCTATAAGTTAATAGACACAGTATACTAGCAAGATATTGGGATGCCAGCAGTCCGTGTTGGAGGGTATTTACTGAGCTTTTGCACACGCAGGTAATTGGAATTTATGAAATGATTGGGGAGTGTGTATTGTCCATATGTAGTATTATTTGGAATTGGTTCTGGTTTTTCAAGTTCTGCTCTTATCCTTTAATTATAAAGTGCTGTAGCTTAATGTTATTGTAATGGGTTCTCTGTTTAGCCTTATATGGGCAATTTACTTTCAACCCCATTGCTTAGTCAGGGAATTGTTGAAGTATAATACCCCAAATATGGCTTTCACGTTGACATTTAATTACTGAGTTTGTACCCAACCCACCAGAAAGTGTGAAACTGGTGAAATAAGGCATTTATTCCATGCATTTGCAGAGGATAGAAGAAGTGGTGAGAGCCACTGCTCTGTGTAGGCACTTGCCCTCAGAGTACGAAAGGTAATGGGTAATAGAAGTGGGGTGTACACTCAACTGTGCATGCCCTCTGAGAAGTTTCTGTGAGCCTTTCAACTCTTCTAAATGAATGGCTTGATCCCTTCTTCCTGGCTTCCCTTTTTCTCTTGCAGATTCATCAGACCCCTGCACCATTGAGAGGAAAGCCCGAAGAATTAGCGTGACCTCCAAAGTACAGGCTGACGTTCATGACACCCAGGCGGCAGCTGCAGATGGTTTGTACTTGTGTTCAGAGTTCGTGCAAAATGGCCAAAGACACGTGTTATATAACCCATGTAGGGTCATCATAAGTAAAGGCCAACTTTTTTTTTTTACTTTAAAAAATACTCTCGCTGCTGAATATCTAAGATTGAGCTTTCCAATAGAAAAGTTAGCCACATACATAATTTAAAATATTCTGGTAAATACATTTAAAAAGGAAACAAGGGAAATTAATTTTAATATATTTTCCTTAATCACATACAATGTGTTAATCATTTCAATATGAAATCAATATAAATTAGTAGTGAGATATTTTAGTCTTTTTTTTTAAGATTTATGTATTTATTCTTAGAGGGGAAGGGAGGGAGAAAGAGGGAGAGGAACATGGATTGGTTGTCTCTTGTACGTTACCTGACCAGGGACCAAAGCACAGTGCAGGCGCGTGCCCCAGTGAATCATACTGATGACCTTTTGCTTTGGGGAACGACAGATGCCTAACCAACTGAGTCACACTCATCCGGACTACATTCTTTTTTCCATACTGTGTCTTCAAAATCTAGTGTACGTTTTATGCTTACAGTGCATCTCAATTCAGAGTGGCCACATTTTAAGTAGTTGCCATATTGGACAGATTGCTCTAAGGTAGTAGTATCTAGAAAGCAAGTCCAGGTAAATGTAACTTGAAAGCTGTTGACTTTATAACTTCTCACTGAAGTTTTATAATGCTTGTTGAACTTTATCCTGTGCTTCAGTAAAAATATTGTGTATGTTTGAGATTTTACAAGTATTCTGTTTGATATTTCTACTTAATATAATATTCTTAATATAATATTCTTAATATTATATTAACTAGGTGGAAGGATTCCAACCTAACAACAAACCAAGCATGAAACTACATTACACTTCATGTAGTTAAAAAAACAAAACAAAACAGAATTCTTCTTTACCATTGGACCTATTTCCCTCGTTGGAAAAATAATAGCTATCTTTGAAACTGTAGAAGATATTCAGAGTTTTTATAAATTTTAGTTGCATCCTTTTTGAGCATTTTATCTTCTGCATGCTAATTACTATATAATACAAACAATATTGATTAAATTGATAAGTGCTATTTGGGAGGGTGGTCATTTTATAGAAATTCAGCCTATTAAAGGAAAACTATTTACTTCAGTTTTCATTGTGTATAAATATTCTTATTCTTTTGTTTTTATTTTCCATGAGGCCTGAAATATCTTAACTTGTAAACTATTCCATAAAGATTTCACACCTGTAAGTCAAATGAAAATAGACATCTAAAATGTATTTCGGGTTTTAGATGCTTCTATTTAAACAGTACTTCCTTGTGATGAAATGAGTGGTGTCCTTTTTTAGGGCCAACAATAATTCTAAATTAGGTGACTTTTAAATATATTTTTTGAGTAGTTACTTCGGAGTGATTTCTTTTTCCAAATGAAATTGTTAGGTTCCTGAAGGGCAGCAAATACACCACCTCGAAGTATGCCTCTGGCATTAGGATTATTTTGAGAAACTGCAGGTGCTGTAAGAGAAGCTCGGAAAACAGAAGTTACCCTTTTGTAAGGGACATTGACATTTATAAAGGCAATCTCCATTTGTAAGGGTGTCTCCGGTGACTGCATCTCCAGAGAATTTCAGCGGTGGAGAAAGGCAGCTACTTAAATCTGCATAACAAACCTTACCCTTGTTCACTGTGCTTTCCTAGTTACACCTTCCACTACTGGCTTTCCCACCCCCAGTATCTTTTTTTGTCTTTAGCTGGAGGTGTTAATTAAATTGGTGGTTTGGGTCATCTCGGGAGTTACTCTGTTTTCCTGGGTCTCTCCCATGTATCTGTGAGGTATACGTGATATTAAACTTGGGTTTGTTTTTCTCCTGTTAATCTTACTTTTATATCGAAAGGGTCTCAGCTCAGAACTCAGAAAGGTAGAGGAAAAAAATCTCCTCCCTTGTACTAAATAATGCAAAGAGCCCCTGGGTATCCTGGATTAGTTAGGTTTATGTACCTTAGAGAAAAGAGGAATTTGAAAAACCTTCTCATGCTAAACATTTGCACTACTACCATCTAAAGTTGAAGGCTATGTTTAGAGTTAGCATACCAAAATGGAATGTAACAGTTCAAGGGTTAAACATCTTAAATTTTCTCACTCTGTGATAAATACATTGTAAATGTTCAGTTTTCAGGTCATTTTGTTTTAGTAAATAGTGGAGATTACTGTATGAGAGAGGATCTTTTCTGGAAATGAATGGCATGTGGAACCTTTTCCCTGTAACAGAAGGCTTGGACAATGTGCTTTTTATTCCTCCATGAGACAAAAAAAGAAAACTACTAAAGGGTGATAATTCCAGAGGAACAAGCCTATATCCTTTTTATAGTCATAGGAATAGGCCGGAGAAGCCAGTGGTTTTCTCTTCTGTCGTGAGGCTGAAATCACCTCCTCACTGAGCCTGAGCCTTAAGCTTGCGGTAAGGTTCAGGGTTTAACATCCAGTTCTCTTAACCCCTTGGTGAATGTTCACAGCAGCCACTCATCGTTAAAGACAGATTGGTAACCACAGTCAGCTCATTAACTTCCCATGGAAGATACGCTTCACCCCCAAAATGGTCGCTGATTAAAACTTGCCCAGATCTCAGTTTCTTTTATTACCTGCTCAAGAAGGCTGCTTACTGCCCTGGCTGGTGTAGTTCATTGGATTGAGCGTGGGCTGCAAACCAGAGCATCGCCAGTTCGATTCCCAGTCAGGGCACATGCCTGGGGTGCTGGGCCAGATCCCCAGTGGGGAGACAAGTGAGAGGCAACCACACATCAATGTTTCTCTCTCCCTCTTTCTCCCTCCCTTCCCCTCTGCCTGAAAATAAATAAATAAAACCTTAAAAAAAAAAAAAAGAAGGCTGCTTACCTTAGACCATGATCTCATTTCCAGTAGACAGTGAGGATTGTACTGTGTTTTTACACTGAATTTGCAGACTCCTGACCTTGCTCCAGATTCCAGGGTGAATTCCACCCGCTGATCTTTAGCCTCTGTTCCTGACCCCACTTCCAGTAGGGACTGGTTCCTAAAAGGCAGGATTTACAAATTGACTCTGGAAGCAAAGATCTTTTTTTTTTTTTGAGCACAAGCCCAGAGAGAATAAGGACCTAGGAATACTGTCAGTTTCAGAATTTTCAAACATAAAATCCCAGGGACCAACATAAGGATGCCAGCATTTCATATGGCCAGGTATAGACATTTTAAGAATAGACATTAAAAAAAATAATAATAAGTAGGAAAGAATCTGAGAATAAAGGATAATCTTTATACTGTATCATTTTAGCCTAATGAAAAACTAACTGCGTGGTCTTTTATCTTTCACTTTTTACCACACTGGGGGGAAACTCTTTTATGAACTCTCACTGCCATTGTTATTGGACACATGTCCGCTGTGAGCTGCAGGTCCCCTGGAAGGTGCACCTTCGATCGGAGGGTTAATGTATCACAGCATGTGCGTGCGCATGCGCACGCACGCACGGGGTGCAGGGGGGGTCACAGGGGACTAAAGATGGCACATGCTGTGAAACATTTTCATTTCTTCATTTGACTGGAATAACTACCCACTGCCTGTAGATAATGAGCTAGGAAGGTAATCAATCCATGCTGGACTTCGATCTTAAAGCAGAGAAGTAAATCGTTTAGAACAAAGTCTGTTATATATTATAAACTTCTTTGGTAATGCATTTCCAGTAGCTGCATATGCTAACTGGCTTTCACATTAGGTAAGATGTGAAGCTACCTACCTCCCTTGGGGGGTTTTTTGCGGGGGAAGGGGGGGATAGTTTTTCATTTGAGTTTGGATTCTACTTGGAAAAAAAAGCCATTCTCTTCTCTGTTTTCATCCTAACTTCTCTCAGAGCATCTACCTGGCTCCATACTGAGTTCTCGGATACAATCCCGAGATGAAGACTATGAAGGGGCCCCTTGGAATTGTGACAGCTGCACCTTTCTGAACCACCCAGCACTAAATCGCTGCGAGCAGTGTGAGATGCCCCGGTACACCTGAGCTCCGAAGAGTCTGCACCACGTTGCCAGCGAAACCGAGCACCAATTAGAGGAAAAGGAAACCGTGGGAATCTTCATCTGTCCAGCCTTTTCATTTCTGAGTACATGGGGGGAGAATGGTGCTGTAGCTGCCTGTGCTCACTACAACAACAATCGGGAGGGTTTTTCCCCCTTTCTTCACTCATTACAGAGACACAGAAAGGGATACTTGAAACTGGGGAAGGATTCACTCCTGAAAGAATGTACACAGAGAAGTCAAGAACTCTTCTGTGGAATCCCAATTGTTCAAGTTACTGCTGAGTGGCCCTTATTTTATAAACCAGAACTCTGGATCATAGTTCTGACGTGTTACAGTCTCTGCAGACAAGCTGTGAATCTCCAGAGCAGACTTCCCTGGTCACAGCTCTCTGGAAAAGGCTCCCGTGCTTTTTCCTGTTGCTCCCTGCTGAAGAGAAGGACAGGAAAAAGCACTCAGAATCTGATTTTTTTTGGGGGTGGGGGGGGGGCAAAATAATAAGAGTTATTTGTAATTGCTGCTTTTTTTCAGGGGTAATTTCCAACACACAAACAAGATGCTTTAAAATGTGATTTGTAGTAGTCAGGAATGAGGCATATCGTGTGCCCTTTGTCGGAAGTACAATCAGAGGTGACAAGATCCCTTTCGCTTGTACAATGATTCAGTGAGCTATTTATCAACACTGGTAACTAAGACCTAATTACACCACGTAAATAGATTTTTTTTAAGTTATTGCATGCTTTTTAATTAGGTCGTCGGTTTTCAAAATATAACAAGTCCTTACAAAGTATGATTTCCTGAATGACCTTCTCATAAAACTGTGCTTTGCCAGTAGCACAGTGAATGTATGCCAAATGTAAAGCCATTCCAAAATCCATTTGGAAATCTTGGTCTCAGCTGTGGTTCCTACAAGAAATATTTGCAGTGCATATATTAGGGCCTCCCTCCCGCGCCCCCACCTCCCTTTCAGTTTTGTGAGGAATTCATGATGTTTACAGCACAGATAATACTTTGTGCCATAATCCTAACTTAGCTGAAAGAAAATCAATATTCAATAACTATTTATTTGCACATACATTAATAAACCAGTGAGGACAGTGACAGTCAGCCGATGCCATCAGGTCACACTCTTGGGGAGGAAGAGCAGGCTAGTCAAGAAATAGGATTCAGAAAAGGGTGAACACAGAAGACTTTGAAACGGAGAGCTTTTCAAATGTAACATACCATGTTCAGAAATGACACTGAGTTTGTTCAAGCAGTGCACGTGAGACTGAAGCACTCCTCATTTATGAAACTAGAACTTTTGGGTGTGCATAACTGAAGAGAGATAAAACTGTGATTCACTAGAATGCACCACTGGAAAATCACTAAGACATTTCATTAAGGTCTCTACCATCGTTGAGAATTGGATTTTGGAACCTTCTCCTTATTGGGGTAAATGTAAAGAGCAATAAAATCGGTAGGTTTTCTAATCCTTAAGGATTTTTAAACCTGTGGTTGTGACTGTAGGGAATACCTACTCCCCCCGCCCCCCCCACTCTTCAAGCTGTTACTGTATTCAAATTTGGCAGTAAACCCCGGGCAGACCTGGAAAAATAAGCTGCACTCCATAGCATAATGAAACCAAAGGCATGACAACGCATCGTAGTGTTCCATCCAGATCATACTTTCACACTCTCCAAAGCGTGGCCATGTAATTACACTGATGAACATCTCTCATACAACAGCTGTGGCAAAACTGTGAAACTAATGGTGAGAAAGCAGATGGACTTAAAAGCATTGACCTGAAAACAGCATTCTTGAAAGACTCTTGTGACACTGGTGTCTGTCAGTCTCTGATAACGGTCTGTCAGTCCTATTGTTCTGTGATAGGCCAGTGCCTTTGCCTTTGTGTGGTTTCATATCTCTTTCAGGATGGCGGACCCCACTTGGTCTTTAGTAACAATTTAGGGGGAAATATATATACTGCTTGGTGTTCTAGCTAAAGGTTTACCACTATTAGTGATGTGCTGAAGTGGCAGTAATTAACTTGGCAGTTGTCAATTGAAAATGAAAGTAGCATGTATGAAAACAGTTTGATGCTTTATTAAAACCACGTAGATGACTTTAAAACTATTGCATGAACATACATCCAAGTTACAAGCTGCTATCATACAGTAGATGCATGGTTCCGGCCCTTTGGTGATATATCTAGTCAATCATTGTTTTCACCTGCCAGGAAAAACGAGAAACCGGTCTGTTCGGTAGTTGTAGAGGATGGTGTATGAGACATCAGATTGATTTCGAGGGAGTTTTTTTTGTCTGTGTTCATTCCTGATTGTGCACCATTTCATACACCCACATAGGCTGTATTCCGTTTCTGAACTAAGCAAAGTCATTTGACACAGATACATTTGATACGTTTCACTGTGTCCCATATGTCCACTACTTCATGCCTGTGACCAGTTGGAAGAATTAGGTCAACGTTCAAGGTGCCTTTTCAAAAGGATCTCCTAGTCAGATTGCCACGGACAGACAACTGGCATGTGAACGGTAGGGCACAGACTGGCTGGTACCTGCCTGCTGAGGGGAGCCTATGTATGCTCTTTGGATCAATTGGTGCACTTCTTGTATCTCTTAAAAGTTTTGTTCCTAACACACAGACCTAACTTCACATTTGAAATTATTTCACTTTTGTAAACTGGGTTTGTAGAAAGCACATTTACCCTTTTGTTAAACTACATCGCCTCCTAACTTTTGGAGGTCTTAAAGGTTTATAGAGGTAATAGAGGACCCAGAAACTTTCTAGGCATTGTAAATGTTTCAAATTGAAAATGACCTTGTTTGGGAGAGGGTAGAGGCAGGGAGTTTTAAAGAAACAGAAATGCGTTGAAAAAAAAAGTAGTTTTAGAGCAGATAAATGATGTTGGGGAAAGTGTTGCTAATTTGTTTATTTCCCTGAAAGAAATGGGATGTGTGATGAGCAATTTAATAACTTTTAAGGAGCTGGTCTCAATTTTAGTACTTTTTAATTATTTCCTTAAATTTTGTCATTGCTTTGTCCCAGTTCTCTAGGGTTCGTATGCAACTTTCTGTGGCAACTCAAGTTTTATATAGTATTTTTCAAGGTAATTGTAATGTCTGATGGTATAAACAAAAAGAATATAAAGTATAGGGAAATTGTTCTTTGGAAATATCAGCAATGTATCCTGGAATGTGAAGATGTCCCCTTATAGTTCATATTGATTTATTTTAATAATGTAGTCATTGCGCAGAGTTTGAATGACTTCATGTTACAGTGTGTGTATGTATATCTGTAGAGAAGGAAAAAATGATCATTGAGATGTTACTTTAAAAACAATCAATAAATCGGGCACTGTCTGTGTTGCACCACTACTGTATGTTTCTCAAAGAATTCACAGTATTTTCTTATTGTAAAAGTTCGTTGTGATGACATTTTCACATTCACCAGACATACATTTTTTCCTGTAGTATGTGCATCCCCAAATATTTAAAACAAGTAGATTTTGCATGGCATGGGCATTCAGAGATAATAGAATGACTCAATTTTAATTTTTAAAGCCATGAAAAGTAAGATCGAACGATACTTATAATGACACCAATGTCCATGTTTCCCTGCTGTAAAAGAATTGATCAGTTTCTTCATTAAAACAGCAAGAACTTACTAAATCTTGTAAATACCATGTCTCTTAGATTTCTGTGTATGCTGTGAATCAAATTATTTTGAAGTGAAATTGTACAAAGGTATTTTAAAAGGCTATGCATGCATCGTACCTCCAAACAGTACATATTGGGAAAGTCAACGATTCCTTCAAAATAAATTAATAAACTAAAAGCAAACATTACATTTGGCATCTTTTCTGTGTAGTTAGAAATGCCTTACAGTGTCAAATATGTCCTAGTTCCAACACTCGTTATTTCTGGACTGAAATACACTGTCTCGGAAATCTAATTGGTGATCACATTTCTGTTCTGTTAGAACATGGAGTAATATTAAGTTTGAGGTATGAAGTATACATTACTCTAATTTCAAAAATTGGGTTAAAGGATGTATAAGCACATTTTATTTCAAAGGTGGAATGTGTTAGAACTTACATTTTTAAATTGCACTTCCGTGTTACTTAAAATACTTTCTTTTAATCTTTGTATCATTTGTAGCTAGTTTTTCAAAGACAAATCACAGAGGCTCCAAACTTCATTTTGCTGGGGTCTGGAGCCAGCCTTGCCAACTTTTGCACAGAAATCACCACAGGTGAATTATAGGAGATGCTTTTCCGTAATTAAGAGTATATATTTAGCCCTGGCTGGTATGACTCAGTGGATTGAGCACTAGCCTGCAAACCAAAGCCTTACAGGTTCAATTCCCAGTCAGGGCACATGCCTGGGTTGTGGGCCGGGTCCCCAGTGGGGAGCGCCTGAGAGGCAGCCACACAGTGATGTTTCCCTCTCCCCCCCAAAAGTAAACAAAATCTTTTTTTTAATAAAAAAATATATCTAAAGTCAAAATAATTTGTACATTGTTCATTATGTGAAAACTTGCAAACAGACAACCACAGAAAAATTTCCATATATAAAGTAATCTTATTTCATATCTATATTCTCATCCACCTCCCCGATTATTTTGAAACAAACCTCAGTCATATAGCAAGTCATCTAAATTTAACATAAGCACCATATACTCACATCACACTTTACGAAATGATTTATTATTAAGTATCTGTTAAATTGCCCAAGTCTCACGAATTTTTTTTTACAAGCATGTCTCAATTAGGGTGTGAATGGAACACGAAATTGTTAAGTCTCTTAAATCTTTTATTTTAACTGTTGCTCAAGTACAGTTTTCTGTCCTTTACCCCCATCCCAGCCCACTCGCCCATCCCCACCCACCTCCCTCCCATTTCCACCCCCTAGTTTTTGTCCATGTGTCCTTTATACTTGTTCCTCCAAACCCTTCCCCTTTTCCCCTGAAATTCCCTCCCCTTTCCCCAAGTCCCTTCCATCTCTAGTCTGCTTACACATTCTCCCCCTCTTACTGTCAGAAATCCTAAGGAAACTTTGCCTCATAACTATTCATTCGGTTATCTTCTACCACAACTTACAGTAAGTACTGCAAAGAGAGAACATCAAAGATAGCTTTAAAACTAGTATGTGAGGTATTTTCCTTATTCCCCCTCTAAACAACTGATTTATTTTGAAATACAAAAATTGCTTCAAACCCGTTGGTGCTCACTTTGGTCAAGAGGCATCCATGAGACCCGCAGTAACTGTAATCCACTCTAATGGTTTCTCTAGGTAGCGACCAGTTCAGGTTCCCACACCCGAGTGTGGGGGACTACTGGGTGCAGGATACCTGGTGTTTGTCTCCCACCTGCATTTCTACAAACACTTCTGACTTGGGCCTGCTGACCTTTTAGCCTAGGACATTTACCCAGGTGATGGCTGGCGTCAAGGGTTTCCATAGGGTATATACGATGTGGGTGAGATTTTTGGTTCTCCAGTTCCAGCTTCTCAGAGCAGTCAGCTCCTGCCTGGCTCTCGGAGAGAGGTGGGTGTGCTTTTGAGCACCCTTCTGTGGCTTTCTGGTATTAAGAAATACAAAGTATGCCCTGGCTGGTGTAGCTCAGTGGTTTGAGCACGGGCTGTGAACCAAAGCATCACAGGTTCAATTCCCATTCAGGGTACATGCCTGGGTTGCAGGCCACGGCCCCCAGCAACCGCACATTGATGTGTGTGTCTGTCTCTCCCTCTCCCTTTCCCTCTCCCCCTCCCCTCCCTTCCCTCTCTAAAAATAAATAAATAAAATCTTAAAAAAGAAATCTTAAAAAAAAATTCTTTAAAAATATATATATAAAAAGTATGAGAAAACTCAGGTGATAGATACAGCCTAGTTTCCTAAACTTTTGTATGGCAGTTTGGGAACAAAGTGCTAGTTAACGTATTCTGTGTTTCATACTCTGCTTTTATTGGACTGACTTGTGTAATTTACTCTCTTGGGTACTGAGCCTGTTTTCAGGTAGTTCTGTTCCCTGGACCAAGAACCACTAACATGTATAGCCATTTCTAAATCCCATCCCGCATTTCTGATTTAAATCACTAAGAATAGTCTGCTTTGGGGTGTGCCCAATTAAAAAAAAAATCTTTAGCACTGGCTGGTGCGGCTCAAGTGGCTTCAGTGCCAGCCTGCAAACCAAAAAGTTGCCAGTTCAGTTCCCAGTCAGGGCACATGCCTGGGTTGCAGGCCAGGTCCCCAGTGTGGGGCATGTGAGAGGCAAGTGATCAATGTATCTCTTACACATTGATGTTTCTCTCCCTCTCTCCCTCCCTTACCTTCTCTCTAAAACTGAATAACTCTTTTAAAAAAAAATCTGTTTTTAAAGGCATTTGAGATGGGGGAGGGCAGAATTGAATTAGCATACTAAAATTGTATTCCCTATACACTAGGACAAATGGTCACACGCGGAAGGGGGACTCCTATTTCAAAATTACAATGAGTTTTTCTACCCCAATTTTGAAATAAAACACTTCTAAGGGTTGGAGAACAGGGATGGGTGTTCTCAGGAGACTGGAATTGACAGGATGCAGATGAAGATGTACTGAGATGTACCCAAATTCCAGTCACTAGTGAAGGTCACCCTGCAAAAAGCGGGTCTATAGGACTCCCCAACAAAGCCCACGAAAACCAAAGAACTGAACAGCAGGCAACTGGAAGGATCAGTGTGCTGGACAGGAAGCACTAAGACGGTGGCATTTGCTTTCTGATTCACACCAGGGTTCACTAACTAAGCAAGCACTTCCGTGGGAATGGTTTGACCACATAGATAAGAGGGGCAATGCACCCAGTAAACTGCGCGCTGCCACAGTGAGCAGGGAGGAAAAACTTGCTCGGCCTAGCAGAGCGTTCCAGAGATCAACTCTCAACCACACAGTAAATAACTAGAGCAGCAGCACCCCCTAGTGCTTGTTTAGTGAGGGGCAAAAAGTAATGCTTAGCAAAAACCTTGAACTTCCCTGTCTTCCCTGCACTTTGTAATCAAGCAATTTCTAATCAAGAAAAATAAAGCCCCTGACTGAGGTGGCCCAGTGGATTGGGCAGCGTTCTGCAAACCAAAATGTCCATGGTTCGAAACCCAGTCAGGGCACGTGCCTGGGTGACAAGCCAGGTCCCTATTTGGGGACATGTGCAAGGCAACCACAGGTGAATGTTTCTCTCCCTCTTTCTCCTACCCTTCACCTCTCTCTAAAAATAAATAAATAAAATCTGTTGTTAAGGATTAAAATATTTAAGCAGTGACCCACATAATGTTTTGTAAATTCCTTAAAAATCAGTAAATGTATGGAAAGAGTTAGCATTCTAAAAGGAGAACCTCATTCCACAGAATCAGAGCAGAAGAGAAAATTTTAATTTCTAATTTTACTTCTAAACAAAAGTAAAATTTCACTGAGCCACACCAGCGAGGGCAACCTCAAATTTTAAAACAATTACACGGGCCACATTTTTATGACTGCAATACATTAACTCGAAAAATTACTGAAACAAATCAATCACAAGTATTAAGAAATCTGAGGAAGAATGAAGAGATGCTTTACAGGAGCGTCTTGAACTGCAAATCCATGAGAGACAGTTACAGGATCTACACAGATAATCAAGAAGACTGTAGCCCTGGCTGGTGTAACTCAGTGGACTGAGTGCAGGACTGTGAAGCAAAGGGTCGACGGTTTGATTCCCAGTCAGGGCACATGCCTGGGTTGCAGGCCAGGTTCCCAGTAGGGAGCATGCAAGAGGCAACCAGAGTGTGATGTTTCCCTCTCTCCCTCCCCCGCTCTCTAAAAAATAAATAAATAAAATCTTTTTTAAAAATTCCTGAAGATTGTATCTTTTCCTGCTTATCAAGTCATGTCAATTTTATTCACATTAAAAAAATTTATATAGAAGTTTTGGGGGGGGCGGGCATAAACATTAGAATCTCTGCTGTTGTATCACAGAATATTTTCATTTAAGAAGGAGAATTTGTACTAAAAAAGTATAAATTTAATAAATAAAAATGTCCAGTCAGGGCACATGCCCGGGTTGCAGGCCATATCCGCAGTATGGGGTGTGCTAGAGGCAACCATACATTGATGTTTCACTCTCTTTCTCCTTCCCTTCCCCATCTCTCTAAAAATAAATAAATAAAATCTTTAAAATAAATAAATAAAAATGTGTCTTTCTACCTCATCAATATGTTAGTTTCCAATAGCAAATATGAATTATTCTCAGGATTAATGTATAGGTACAAAAAGTTTACCTTCTAAATAGCCACAATGAATGAAGCAGAATATTAACTACCCTGTTAGTGTTCATTCTATAAAATAAGTACATTCTAGCCCTGGCTGGCGTAGCTCAGTGGATTGAGCGCGAACTGGGAACCAAAGTGTCCCAGGTTCGATTCCCAGCCAGGGTACATGCATGGGTTGCAAGGCCATAACCCCCAGCAACCGCACATTGATGTTTCTCTCTCTATCTCCCTCCCTTCCCCTCTAAAAATAAACAAATAAAATCTTAAAAAAAAAAAATAAAATAAAATAAGTACATTCTTCCAATTAGAAGCACACACACCTTTTTGTTTTAATGCCACACAAATTCTTATGACAATGGTTTGTCTTTATGAGGTCTGGACTATTTCTGGCTAAGGATGCCAGCTGTGGAGGTGGACCACCTGACCTACCTACAACCTACTTGTGTGGTCTTCCAAAAATTGCTTTCTCTCTCTCCACCTCAGTCACCCCATCTGTGAAAGGCGAACAATAGCACTCTATCTCAATAGGTTGTGATGATTAAATAAATCATTACATTCAGAGCACACGG